GCAGACAGTTTTGTGCACATGAAGAGGGAGATTGTTTTATGCCGTCAGGAAAACCCTGAGAAAGCAATTGATTCAGCTGTGGAGAACAGAAGCAGGGTGGTAAGCCCAAAGAACAGTGGGCAAAGAGAACAGAGGGGAGTGTCATGGGATGGCCAGATGATGTCAGTCTGCAAGGGAGACTGAAGCCTCTGAGGGTGATAGTGAGTGAGAAAAGGAGCCACCTGGAGACCATAAGCAGAACTTTTGTCTGATTGCTTCTTCAGAAGATCTCCAGTGGAAGCAGAGAAACAGGAGACACTTGTAGGGTCCACATAAAGAACAGTTGTAAGATGGAAGGGGGGCAGTTATGTGAATCTGTTAATTACACGTTATATGGAAGGCATGCTGGAGCTGAAGATGAAGGAAAAATAGGAATCAAGGCCTCCTGGGTAAATGATGATATTGTTTTTCTGGTCAAGTCTGGAGAGAACAGGTTTGGCTGAAGGACTAAAGTCACTGGGCTGCTGAAATTGCCACTTCTGTTGAGACATGGCAATGGAGTTGCAAATCACACATCACCCATCGGACATGGAAGCAGGGAAGGTAAATCCTATGTACCCCAGCATGGGAATGCAGGGGCTGCTGCTCTATAGCTATCAGGCAAGGACTGGTATATAGACTGGTATATAGATGCTGTGTATGTCATGAAACTGTCCCCAGGGAATTGTGAGAAGAGAAGGGACAAGGCTGAGGACCAAGCTGTGGCTCACTCCATCTGTTCAAGATTAGAAGAGTCTGTCTGGAAGCTTCTTCCTTCATCTAGGACAGTGACTTAGAAAAGGGGCCTTGCTCAGAACTTCTACAACTTACAAACACTTTCAGTATCATAAACACTTTCAGTAATGTAGCAGGATACAAGATTAACTCAAAAAATCAGTAGCCTTCCTTTAAACAGATGATAAATGGGCTGAGAAAAAAATCAGAGAAACATCGCCCTTTACAAAAGCCCCCAAATAGCATAAAATATCTTGGAGTAACTCAAACCAAACAGTGGAATACCTGTATGACAAGAACTTTAAATCTTTGAAGAAAGAAATTGAAGAAGACACCATAAAGCAGAAAGATCTCCCATGCTCTTGGGTAGGCAGAATTATATAGTAAAAATGGCAATCTTACCAAAAGCAATCTACAGATTCAATGCAATGTCATCAAAATTCCAGCAAAATTCTTCACAGACCTTGAAAGAATGGTACTCAACTTCATATGGAAAAGCAAAAGGCTCAGGATAGCCAAAACAGTCCTACACAATAATGGAACTTCTGGAGGCATCACAATCCCTGACTTCAAATTCCCCTTAGAGCTGCAGTACTGAAAACAGCCTGGTATTGTCATAAAAACAGACAGGAAGACCATGGAACTGATTTGAAGACTCAGATATTAATCCACATATTTATGAACACTGATTTTTGACAAAGAAGCAAAAAATATAAAATGGAAAAAAGAAAGCATATTTAACAAAGGGTGTTGGCATAACTGGATGTCAACATGTAGAAGATTGCAAATAGATTCATATCTATTGCCATGCACAAAACTCAAGTCCAAAAGAATCAAAGACCTCAACATAAAGCCAACCACACTGAACTTCATAGAAGAGAAAGTGAGAAGTACACTTGAATGCATTGGCACAGGGAACCACTTCCTAAATAGAACCCCAGCAGCACAGACACTGAGAGAAACAATTAATAAATGGGACCTCCTAAAACTGAAAAGCCTCTGTAAAGCAAAGGACACGGTCAACAAGACAAAACGGCAGTCTACAGAGTGAGAAAAGATCTTCACTAACCCCACATCAGACAGAGCTCTGACCTCCAAAATATACAAAGAACTAAAAAAAAAAATGGTCATCAAAAGAACAAAGAATTCAATAAAAAATGGAGTACAGATCTAAACAGAGAACTCTCAATAGAGGAATCTAAAATGGCTGAAAAACACATGAGGAAATGCTCAACATCCTTAGCCATCAAAGGAATGCAAATCAAAACAACTCTGAGATTCCATCCTACACCTGTAAGAATGGCTAAGATCGAAAATACTGATGACATCTTATGTTGGAGAGGATGTGGGTTAAAGGTAATACTCCTTCATTTCTGGTGTGAGTGCAAGCTGTTACAGCCCCTTTGGATATCAATATGGTGATTTCTCAGAAAATTAGGAAACAACCTTCCTCAAAATCCAGCAATATCACTTTTGGGTATATACTCAAAGGATGCTCAATCATACCACAAGGACATGTGCTCAACTATGTTCATAGCAGCATCATTTGTCATAGTCAGAAATTGGAAACAACCTAAATGCTCCTCAACCAAAGAATGGATAGGGAAAATGTGGTACATTTTCATAGTGGAGTACTACACAGCAGAAAAAAATAATGACATCTTGAAATTTGCAGGCAAATGGATGGATCTAGAAAACATAATATTGAGTGAGGTAACCCAGACCCATAAAGACAAATATCATATGTACTCACTCATAAATGCTTTTTAGACATAAAGCAAAGAAATCACAATCCCAGAGAATCTAGACAATAACGAGGACCCTAAGAGAGATATACATGGATCTAATTTCCATAGGAAGTAGAAAAAGACAAGATATCCTGAGTAAATTGGGAACATGGGGACCTTGGGAGAGGATTGACGGGGAGGGGAGATAAAGGGAGGGGAGCAGATAATACTGTAGAGCTCAATAAAATTAATAAAAAGAGAAAAACCTGAAAAGAGGCCTTTCTCTGCTGCCAGGTGTAGCTTTCAAGCACTAGGAAGCATGAGAACTCTTATGAATAGCTCACCTCCTCCCCTGCCCCGCCAGCACAGTAATGAGCTCTTGGCACTTGCTAGTGTGATGAGAGAAAAGTCCATTCATCCTCAACGCCACAAACTTTCCCCCATGTATTTGGAACAATACTGATGAAGGAGGGTCATCTTTCTATCTGTTGTTTTTTTGGTTAAGTAATAAAGAAACTGCTTGGTCTCTGATAGGACAGAAAATTAGGTAGGCGGAGTAGACAGAACAAAATGCTGGGAGAAAGAAGCTGAGTCGAGGAGTCGCCATGATTCTCCCACTCCAGACAGACGCAAGTTAAGATCTTCCCTGGTAAGCCACCTCGTGGGCTACACAGATTATTAGAAATGGGTTAGATCAATATGTAAGAGCTAGCCAATAAGAGGCTGGAACTAATGGGCCAGGCAGCGTTTAAAAGAATACAGTTTCCGTGTAATTTTTTCGGGTATAAAGCTAGCCGTGTGGGAGGCTGGGAGCTCGGGTGCCAGGAATGTAGCCCTCCGCCCTTATTACAACACAATACGGTAAACAATACTTTCAAGGAGGCATATGGGCATTCAATCCTGCCCCAGGGATAGAAGATAGCATGGGGAAGTTTTCAGTTGTGATATGGCCATCACAGAGTCTAAGTATCAGAGTCTTTGGTAGAATGAGACAACAATTCATCAGACAATAGGCAGTAACCCTCCAGCTTTAGAAGTGTCAAGACATCAGCTGGGTCTATGGTCAGTGCTGACTAAGAGCAGGTTGACATGGAGAACATTCATTTTACTTTTGTCTTAATTTTTTCCGCTTCTAGCAATCAAGTGTTGTGTTCCAGAAACAATAGCATCATTTCCCCCCTTTTTGGTGTCTGGGATACAATAAAACAGATGAAAGAATCAATGTGATGAATACAGTCAAATGGTATAGTCATTAAGTATCATTAATTACATAGCTTTTGGGGATAAGGGGATTCCATATACACACACATGCACACACACAAATATACATGCACACATACAAATATACATATATATACACACACACATATGTGTGTGTGCGTGTGTGTGTGCATGTATGTGTGTGTATGTATAGACATACACACATATATTCTGAAAATTCATATGAATATCTTATTTAGGAAATATGATGTACAGCTAATATTGTAATAAATCATAGGCAATTTAATCATACTATAGCAAAGAAGGCTGCATCCCAATGGGAAGAATTTCTGGCAGAGCAGAAAAACCATTACAACAACTAATGGTTTTGTTGTATTCTTTTAATAATGAGTCAATTGCTGTGGTCCATTTTTCTTTTTCCTTTTGGTATGAAGTGTGGTTGAAGTTTATCAAAGCCACAGGTAAGCCAGCAGTGCTATGGTCCCTTCTTGCTTTTGACTGGTGGCTGGTCTCAGAACTGAGTTAGTCTGTCATGTGACTGAGCCCATGATCAAAGGGCAGTCTCAAGCCCCATGCCTTATGCCAACAGGATGGGGAATTTGAGAAGGAAGGGGAAAAACCTGGCATATGAGAAGAGAGGGCTGGAGTTTCCACAATCAGGAAACTAAAAACAACAGCAACAGCACAACATTGTCTTATTCCTATACCCAAAGAGCTGAGCATTGCTCCAGCCCTCTCAGAGAACCTTCCTGTCATAGATGGAGATTAAAAAAGTGATTTAAGACTGGACAATGCGAAGTGAGCGAGTGAGTGAGTGAGAGACTTTTGAACACTCAGCACTAAATTCATCAAATCCTTCTTTTCAAGGTGCAGGTATCTATGTGGAAGAGAAGGTAGAAAGATTATAAGAGCCAGAGGTGGTAGGTGATGCCAAAGAAAAGGGTCTCCCAGACAGAACAGGACTGATACACAGGTGAACTCATGGAGACTGTGCCAGCACACACAAGACCTGCACAGGTTCCAACCAGACAAAATTCCAGCACTGAGGAAGGGGAAGGTGACACACAGCTCCAACCCTATCCAGGAACTTATTTGGAACTGATACCTGCTGGGAAATGAAAAACCAGGTTTTTTTTCCAGAGGAGTGTCACTGGGTATATCATCCACACGCCAGGTCATGCCCCATGCCCACGAATAGCTGGCCAACGTGAAATGAACTCAAAGGTGTGTGTGTGTGTGTGTGTGTGTGTGTGTGTGTATGTGTTTTAGTTTTGGGGAGTTCCACAAATCATCCTTTACCTGGCACTGAGGTTCCGAGAGCGACAAACACAACTGCAGTCACGGAGTCTTTCAGTCCAATGGTGCAGCCAAAGTGGGAAGCCAGATCTCCGATGAAGGCTGTCAGGAGGCCAATCATGAGGATGGAGACGATGAAGCAGGCCCAGCCATTCCAGTATTCTGTAGGGGGCACGAAGGCAAACAGAACCTTCCAGAATACTGTGAGAAAGTGCATCACGTAATCAAAACAGGAGGGCAGCTTCTCTTCCCCACATTCATCGTCATCGTCATCTTCCCCTAGAAAAGAAAATAAAGCAAAATATATTTCATTAAGACCCAGCTTCTAGGAATTTCTTCCATTTTCTTCATCTCCTTCTAGACGGTTGTCACGCTCCTCTGAGCGACAGGAGGCCATCAGAGGTCACTGAAGCTTAGGGCTTTCTAAAAGTCAGCCATCATGAAGCAATTATTGGTAGTGGTATTCCGAAACCATTTCCCTGTGGCTAGGTTGTCAAGGGTAAAAGCTCACACAATCAATACAACCTCCATGCCGTTCACATTACCTCCCAGTAGGATTTGCCTTTGGGACAATGAAAAAGATTTCTTGCCAACATGGAAAGCTGAAAGAGAAGGCTTTCTGGAAGTTTGGACAAAGTTCTACGAGGGTTCTTCGCTTTGAGCTTAAAGTCTAATTGAAGATTGATAGTCGCGTGACTTCTATGGTGTGGCATTCAGTCAAGGCTCCCAAGTACAGCTCTGGGACCTTTCTTCCACTCTAGATTCACCTCCTTTAATTATTTCCAACCCTGTCTTAGCCTATTAGTATTATTGGCATTTTGAAACCATCGTCACATTCTCTGGCTTCAGAGCTAAGAGTGTGCCTCATATTCTTACCCCTCCATTGTTCCCCTCCACCCATCAGTTAAAATGCCTCTCACCCCTCTTCTGGCTGCCATGGTTCTACATACTCAGAACTTTGGATGAACAGTTCTTGGTGAGTTCACTGAGCAATGGCACTTTGGAATGTACTAGAAATGCAAATTCTCAACTCATTGAATGTGACAAAAAAATGTGGGTTTGAATAAACCCTCCTTGTGAATTGACTACTTTGAAAGTTGCTGCCTTATCTAAAATTAGGCCTGTTCTGTGTCCTCTCTTCTCCATTTGACGTGAGCCCTTTATACATTTTGTCTCTCTAGTATTTGGTTATCATTTCCATCACTTAGATAACTATTTCGTATCCCTGGCATTTGGTACAATCTCCATCACTTAGATGACTAAGCAGCTGCCAACTGAAGGGATGAGTACATGAATTTCTACTGATTTTACATCACTATGAAATTATATAATATATGTGTGTAAATTACAAGTACACCAGTTAAATCATATTTGAACGCACATATAAGTGCAGGAGGCTTGCTAGTTAAAAGGGCCAGGAAGTTAATAACAACACCATAAGAAATAGTTCATATAGGTGGCATAAGATTAGTGTAAATATAATACATATTAAGTAAAAATAACCCCTATTCATGTGTTTTCAAATTATGATAGTCAGTGTCACTTTTCTCAGAGTGATAAAAAATTAATGTTCATGGATTTGGGGACAATTTTTTTTAAAAGAAGCTTCTCTTGACTATTTTGTTTACTTTCTCCAGCATCACCCGGAATTAACTTTACTTTGTTCTAATTAATGTGGTTGACAGCAGGTGGGGCTGGCGGCTCTCTAGCCGATTGTATGGTACAAGAATGCCAACACCAAGCAAACGCCTGTACTCTTTGTGACATAGTACAGGGTAAAGCCATCTAGGACAAAAAAGTGTGGGAATCCCCCTTAAACACATTCCAGCTTGGAGCAGAGAGTGGGTATCACAAAACTTGGAAAGCCAGATAGCTTGGGTTTCTCCTGACCATACAGGATTAGCAAGAAAGTGATGAACCGCTCTCCCATGAGCACATGGCTACAGTTATTACCTTGTCTTTGAGGCTTTGGGAGGTAGCCAATAAACAAACTGTTAGGAGAATGCACCCATAAATGTACAGAATCACCTTTGGGGAATGCACAGGAGAAGAACTTGAGTCTAGTGGATTGACAGAAAATTCTAGGAGTGAGAAAGCATTGTTGATCTCCCAGGTTCATACTGTAGGAGTGAGAACATGTTTTTAGTAGCCTCTTCTGAAAACACAAACTGCTTTTTAAATAAAAGCATCTGAAATGGGTTACACTCACCTCCTCCCTCCCAATCAATGCTTCAAAGCCCTAACCCCCCATCCCTAGAATGCAATCTTATTGAGAGATAATGCCTTTGATCAGCAATGTGAGACAATGTGTCAGAAAGACATTGAGTCTGGGTATGGGGGCACAGTCCGGATGCTCACCCTTTGAGAGGCAGAGGCAGGAGTCAGAATTTGAGGACACCTGAGCTACACAGTGAGACCTTATTGCAAGTACATGTACATGTGCAAGCCAAGGGACTGATTGGGAGAACCAAACCGACTCACACCTTGATGCACAGAGAATCAATTTCTTCTGTTTAAGCATCAATTTGTGGCAGTTCATTATGGCAGCTTTGGTCAACCAACAGCAGCTCATTGGAATCCTCCTATTGTCACCTCTTGAAGTTGGGGTACATATATCAGACATCACACTGTAGCCACAACTATGCACAAATGCTGCACGTCACTTACAAACAAACACTGCCCATGCATTTAGGAAATTTCCCTGCTTCTTTACTTCTTTATCCTTTTGCCTATTCTTTATCCACTTCTCTTTACCCTGATTTTGCTCCAGATAAAACTGTGAAAGCTTCAATTTTTATAGTTAATCTTAAGGTGTGAGGGAGACAAGAGCCATGTTAGTTTTGTGCCTGACTTGTCCTTCCCACTTTCTATAAGCATGTCCACCTGTAAGTTCTGCAAAAGCACCACAATTTCTGGTTATATTTCTTTTGTGTCAGACCGTTCTCTTAACTTCCATATATTAGGGCACTTATAATTTCTCAGGATATATGACGAAAATGTTTTGTTAACACTGAGTTTCTATCAGTCATCCACAGAAGCAAAGAACATTCTGCCTCTGCAAAGTCATTTATTTTGGGAATGATTAAGTCTCAAAGTTTAAAGAAGAACCAGAAAGCAAAGAATGAAACTTCTCAAAAGAAATGACACATGTAAATCCGGAGTAGATATTATTTTTATTTTGAAAGTGGAAATAATAACACCTTTCCCTGGAGGGCTGTTCAGGGGAAGAATTAGACAAATTGTACCAGATTCCTGAGGATGCTTCAAGCTAATGATTATCACGTTGCATATTATTATATCCTTCTACTCCGGCCTACAGCTGTGTTTTCCCCATCATTATTTCATTGCGCAGTTAACATGCTGTTTCCTAAAAATTTTAAAACAAAATAGCATAAAGCACAGGGTGTAGTGGTGCACTCCTTTAATCTCAGGAAGCAGAGGCAGGTGGATCTCTGTGATTTTGAGGCCTACCTGGAGCTATGTAAACAAGACACTATCTCAAAAACCAAAACCAAAGCATAAAGTATGTACATGTGTGTGTGTATGTATGTATGTATGTGTGTGTGTGTGTGTATGAGAGAGAGAGAGAGAGAAAGAGAGAGAAAGGGAAAGAGAGAGCGAAAGGGAAAGAGAGAGAGAAAGGAAACGAGAGAGAGAAAGGGAACGAGAGAGAGAAAGGGAAAGAGAGAATATTCCCTAGCCTTTCAGTATTACAGAGAATCTTAAATATTGTCATGTTTAAACCTGTTTGAAAATCATCATGTATCTTACAACGTTTTAAAGTAGAACTGTGTCTTCATTCTTTTTTCCCTGGGATCTCACTGAACTTTATATACTTGAAGGATTACCTGACAAGTCACGTAATGATTAAAAATGACCACTGGCCTCCATGCATGCTGCACGATTATCCTGTCTTGGGGAAGGACAAGCGAGTATTAAGGGTGTCCATCACCAGCTGGACTATCCTTAAGAGTCTTTTTCTCACGAAGAGCAATGGAGCATTAGCCCTCTCCTCGATAACTTGGGAGCATCTTTTATTTCACAGCAGAAAGGACAGCCATATGCTGGTTCTGTAGCCTGTCAGCGCAGGATTGCCTGGGGCTGCACATCCCTTCACATCCCTCCTCTGGGCATGCATGGAGATAGACAAGTTGGGGGGGTTGCTTTTATAAGCTCTCAGTTAAATCCCTCTTATCGCAGAATCCTTCTTTTCAGCTTTATAGATTCCACTAATGGAAAGATAAACAATCTGTGTCCCATTAATCCCTCCTGGAGCCTTAGAAGAAATGGCTTCCCTGATACACGTTGGTTTCCATAAATATAGCCATAAAAATAGCCAAATTATTAAATGTGCAGGTAGTGGAGACGGCTTAACTTCAACTATTGATGTATTAACAAGACATTGATCACTTCCCTGGAGCACAGAACAAGGGTATCATCGGCTCAGTGGAGCATGGGAGCTGGGCACGAGGCTTGCCACCAGCTGATACCTTATCTTCTATGGTAAACACATGTTTTTCGACATCCCTCCATAGACATGGGCCTCAAGGAGTGTGCTGGGAACCAGAAAAAGAAGCCACTGGGATGAGCTACACTTGAGTCAGAAATACTGCAGACCAATTTCTGTTTCTTGGGAAGACACTTGTATTTCCCAGGCTCAGATCCATGTCTGTCAAATGAGTTTGCTAACTGCCACATCACAGTGCTGCTTTGAAAACTGAGAGAGGAAAAATCTGGGTCCTCGGTAAAAGCATGGGTCCTTCACAGACCTGTGCTATAGCCCAGAAATGTTGTTTGCTGACCGGAAGGCAATAAATCAATCCAGCCTCAGCAGTCTGATGTCAATGATCTATGTACAGCTCAAGCGAACCATCGTCACCACTATTTCCTGAAACTGATTTTTTTTTAAAGAGAGGGTAGGGCAGAGGGATATGAGGAGGTGCCTAGCTAGAGACAGATACCGAGCCAAAAACAAAGTCTTTTCCCATACTGACCTTATATTGACATTACAGTAACACTTTAAGGTGGGCATCGTTATTCTTGTCCTATATAGGAAGAGTCTCAAACTTGCGGGGAGGAGGCAGATATCTTTAATAAATAAATAAATTAATTAAAAAAAAAGAACTGACTTTGGCTTGGCCAACCAGGTTTGTCTTTCTTCTCTTGATAAACATGATCTTAGGGAAAATATTCCAAGCCCCTTGGTCTCTGTATCTGTGTCTGAGATGGAGAATGCAAGACATTTCTCATAAGTGGACTGAAGCAATTTGACTCAATAA